TAATTAATAAAACTGCTCGATATCTGCCTTCCATTTTATCAAAAATTTTATTTTATTTTAATAAAATGAAAATGAAAGAAACTTAATTGTTGTGTATGGAAAATGAAGAGATTATTCAAAACCGCCTTATTGACATATCTTCTCATCTGGTTGTTGAAACTTCATCGTTATTATTTGCAGTCGTAATACCAAATACAGCTATTTCGTTCGTTATATCAATCTAACAATACTGACATTTATTTTGTTAATCACAGCTTCCCTTGTTAATCATCGTATGACGTCAACTATAGTTATATTGCGATTTAAAATGACGGACAACAGAAAAACTGTTTTTTGCGTATATCCATACAATTTCTTAAAAATGAACGTTACACCAACCTTGCCCTGATAATATCAAACACAACAAAAACAGCATGATCTAATTTGGTGCAGTCATTCTGAAGTTATGCGCGTACAAACATTTCGCCGATTTATTTTTACTTATATAAATGAAATCATAGAGAGGAATTTACAGATAAACTGGAACTATGTATGCAATACCAATTTCGTATCACGAAGATTGCGATATTTAGGTCACATGTAGGGGATGACAAATAGAGCGAAACTACAAAATAAATCAAGAAATCCGCCAAACAACAGATGACAGAGGTAATTGAGAAAAACATTGACGTACATCCTTCTTATTGGAACAATTGGAATGGAATTGCACCTGAAATTTTGAACTGCCTTTTAACCATAACTCTTGAATATATACATTTCTTAAAAATGTATTCCTCTACGCGAAAACCTATTAGTCATATGTTTTTTTGCCCGACAGCTCGAAAATCCTATGAGTTGTCTCAATTATAAAATTGTTGTTCAGCAATTCCGTCATACACATCTATAGCAGGTATGTTATCTTATCTCATATACTTAATCTATACTATTGAAATAAAGACACTCAAAACTCAGTTCTTCGTTATCCGCGCCAGACCTCGCAAGCCTAAAAAGGCAGTTCTGATAGTCGATATGTTTAAAATAAACATTCTGATATTTTTAATTGTTTTTACTTCTAGGTAAGTTTTAACAAACTTGTGCAATATTTCTGTGATTTTATCTAAAGTGATAATTAAAAAAAGGTGTATTACACAACTTATTCTGACGATGCCAAGTGAAAATATATAGGTGATAACTAATCAGTTCCATAAATTACTTGAGTACACTTAACCGTGTTCGTGTAACTGCCGTAAATAAAAAGTGGCTTTACAAATGTATTGCAATCTTATGGTACTAAAACTGATAAGAAACAATGTAGAAGTCACACTTATTTATTTTAGCCTTTTTGCCGTAAAATGCAAGACTTAAAATTGATGACTTGCATTTTTCTACATATTTTCCCAGTTTTTTAATTTTTACTTTTTTGGTAACTTCTTTGCGACTTTTTAGATTACAATTTATTGCTTGTAAATACTTTGTATCAATAGTATCAAACACGATTCAATCCAACACTAGCTACTCTGGAAGTGATAGTTGTTTTCACTAAATAATTCTCCTTAGTGGAGGACCAGCCCCAGTGCATATTTTTTTTACAGTTTATGTTTTCTCGTGTTTCCAACTATGTTTTCTACAATGTAATATCTTTAATCTACTTTTCGACATGTATGTTTATTACGCAATGCGCTGGAATAAGTGTTATTAAACTCATTTATTTTTAGAACGTAAGCAAAACGCTCTGATACGTCGATTTTTAAAATACCCATAGTATATTATAGCCTAAATGTTTCGAACTTTATGGAATTCCTCTTCAGGTGACAGTCATAACTTTGATTTTTGTAAATGAGAAAGTACATCATGTGACACCTCATTTAAAGCTTTTGACGTACTGATTTCAAAAATATATAATACTTTGGTTCGAAAATTTACAAATTCTAAAATATGCGAGAAAGAGTTTCAATGTACCTATGTACCTCTAGATCTGGTCAAGATACTTACCTAATGATCTTCTTTCGTTGTATAGCAACTAAATTGTTTTTTGACAGCTGTCATAAATAAATAGTATTAATAACTTTAGCTTTGTTGCTATTTTAAAAGAAATTTGTTTATTGTGAATTTTAAAAATGGTACAACCTCGTAATTTAAAAAAAGCGAAATGATCACAATTTATAGTGAAGCTAGCCAGAATTATCGTGAGTCGATAAGAATTTTTAATGAACGCTATCCCGACCATCCAATAGACAGGTGTACTATTTTAAACGGACAGGAAGAAAACATCTATCCAAAGATGAACAGATTTCTGTGAGTTTTTCGTTAATCCGTCTACTCCTACCAAAATTGTTGCTCACGTCTGTGAACTAGATCAAAAATTTTTTTAACGATTCTGAAGAATAAATTTCAACCTTACAAAATAAAAATGGTTTAAGAATTAACAGTGGATGACCCAAATAGACGGATTGAATATTGCGAAACCATGACGAATAATATTGCACAGAATCCTAAACATTTTTTTGAATGGTCACGTTCATCGTCAAAATGTTAGATACTGATCTGATGAAAATCCCAGATTATTTCGAGAACGTCACATGCAATTTCCACAAAAACTAAATGTTTGGGCAGGCATATTAGCTAACTATATTTTAGGCCCAATATTTATTGACGGTAATTTAAATATTGAATCATTAATTTAGTTGTAATAATTGAGACTGTAATAAATATTTTTTACTTCTATTTCAAACAAAATATATTCTACCATCTAAAAAAGATTAACTATAAGGAAATTGTTGCAAGGTACGTATTAAAATTCTTTCTGGCATAATTTAAATTCTGTAAATTTTTTAACCAAAACCAAATTGAAAATCAGTATTTCAAAATCTTTAAACGAGTATAATATAATTATTTAAAAAAAGTAGTTATGACTGTCAACTGAAGAGGAATCGCGTAAAGTTCGAAACATTAATGCTATAATATACTAAGATTATTTTAAAAATCGACCTGTTTGAGACTTTTGCTTACATGGTAAAAATAAATAAATTAATAAGGGGAATTCCAACGCATGGTATCTTCTTCCACATAATCCCTCATATCTTCGGATTATCCCTTAATAAATGGATACCAGTTAGCCACTATAATCAATCTCAGGGTGTTTTCCTGTCTTTTCTCAATGTATCTATACCTTCGTACCATGATACTATGAACTAAAGATAAACCCACGTGCACGCGATCAGTCTATCTCTTTTGCACGTGTGACGTCTCTTGGCGACAAATGTCACCAGAAATGTTCTGTTTTGCATGGAGTTTTGTCAGATTTAGTATTGTTTAATCGTTTATCTAGTACGTCGACAAATAAATGTGTGCACTTTTAGATAAAACATATTTCAGAATATTAAATTAAGATAAACTTTTATCACCAAGTGACATCATGCGCATCGACGTACAAAATTCGATTGCGAAGTGGTTTTATCTTGAAAGTCATAGTATCATCGCTAGTTCCATCTATACTTTTATTACTGAGTTTTTATTTTTTATTACACAATTTTTCTAATATCTTTGGTCCCCCTACTTCTCTTATTTTTTATTTGAAAAAATTTTAGTTGTTTTTCATTCAGGTGGTGGTTTCTTAAGCATACATTAATATGAGTCCTATAGTTGGCTTTTAGATTGATATTTTGCATAACTATCGCTTATACGTCAAATACGATAAGACATACGAAAAATCGGTCATAATGTTTAGTTCTTCTCGATTTTTTTTCATTTATAATTTATTTATCTTGGAATACTGCATAGTATATTCATACCTCAACACATGTCTACCACACTTAATACATTTTGCAGAAAACAAAAACAAAGGAGAATAAAAAAAAGAATAAAATTTTGGCACGAATTTTGTGTCATCCTCTATACCAAATGTAAACAATCGAAAAGGTAATCAATTCAACAAAACTAGGTTACATTAAAAACTCATTGTCAAATAACGATTAACCATAAATGACCTGGAGTCTTAATGACTCCAGGACATTTAGATTTGCACATAAGATATCTGGCGCTTCTTCCTTTGTACCGAGATCTTACTAATCTTCCTGATCTATTCTCCGCAGAAAAAAATATTTCAAATAAAAAATGTATCTAAGATAATTTTGAACAAAAATGTTTATTAGCAGTTTTTTTAAAGAATAAACCATTATATTGGAAGCAACGCTTGAAGCCACTGGTGATTTTCAATGTCAGATATGCGCGCGAAATCAATTTTTTAAATAAAATTTGTATCAAATCGACTGTAAAAATTCGTTATCTTTTGATTAGAATGTCCTACAGATAAAAATCAAAATGCATTTTAAAGATGAAAAAAGCAGCTTATGCAATTTGTGAATTTTGCCGCAAATGAAGTAGGTTCTATAAAGGTGTTAAATAAATAAACGTTTAGCGATTTTTACAATTTTTTACTATTCTCATGATATCAATAGAATTTATCAATTCAATGGACCGGCCACTATGGAATTTTCATTACTAGAGCCATATAGCTTAAAATCAAAACATGAACTGAAACATAACCTGGAATTTCGGTTTTGAGTTTGGGCAACAAATGTGAAGCATTATAATGCTTCATATATGTGATATAAAGCGTTTAAAACTGTTTTGTTTTTTATTACACAAGTACGTTTTTCAAAACGACACAACTTCAGCTACAAATTTCACCCAATACCGTCTTCGTGGAGGCATTTCCCATGGCGTGCGATCGTTTTTAATGTAAAAGTTTAAATTCTGCATTTTTAGGATATTTCATTTTTTATTTGAAACATTTTTTTCTGGAGCGTACAGATTCTAGGTAAATCGATTTTTTCGTTTTCCCTCCCTGCTAGGGGGGTTTTAGGGGGAAGCCTTGGGCTAAAGTGGTAAACTTTTTTGCATTTTTTTGGGGTCCCAACAGTGACATTCTCGGCAAATTTCAGCAAGCCTTGGGATAAAAGTGGTAAACTTTTTTGCATCTTCTTTTGCATCTCCCAAAATTGACATTCTCAGTAAATTTCAGCTTGTTCGTATGATTTTTCGAGTTCAAACCTCGTGACGACTGGACTAACTCAGTGTGGTCCAATAAAACATATTTGCTGGTCACTTTGCTTCCAGCATTAGTAACAGACAAATCACTTTAATCCACATATAGTCTATTTCTATGGAGTGACGTTTAATTTCTGCATTAATGGTCCAGATGTCGCTTCCCTAACAGACACAAACAACAATGAAACCAATCTTGTTGAAACATTTGTTTTATTTCCCTCTCCAGTTCTGTTCTTATCTACTATTGCACTCAATGAACTCGTTTACTTGTTTAACTGATATATCCTCGCCAATCATTACGTCAAATCTGGTGTCGCAATGTATGCCCAAATACTCTGTTCTGTTGAGATTTACTTGTAATGCACACATCTGATATTGGTCGAAGGGTCAACGATCTTTTAATTATAAATTCCAGATCGAAAGTATTATGTGCCACAACTTCGTCATCCACAAAATTTGAAATACATAGTCGCTGTTTGGTTGAGTTTACCGAAAGTGCAAGCCGATTATAGCCGCAAATGTCAAACATGGAACAAAAAATTTCGGTATAGCAGTGTTGGCATGTTTTTATAATGTAGATGATGTATGCTTTAAATATAAAAAGATAAAGCTTTAGAAAAGTATATTTTGTTTGGATTATGTTCTAAATTCTGCAATTTTTGATTTATATAAAACAAGAAAGAGTGAATATTTGTTTCTTTGGATATTAATTGCAGTTAATTATCAGAAATTATTTTGGCAATTACCGTGTGATAGATTAGGAGATAAATTTTGCAATCGTCAAATCAGCAGTTGCCAGATTGCAACGGATGTTTGCAATTAATCTCGAAAGAGACAAATAATTACTCGTTATTGCTTCATATAAATTAAAAATTGTAGAATTCATAAAAGAGTATAATCAAAATTTACTTTTTAAAAGCTTTCTCTTTTTATATTTGACGCATACAACATATGCATTATTCGCTCCGAGGGTTAACAAAGTGTCAAAGCAAAATCGACTGACCTGCTCATGGTGGCGATTGCTTGAAATTTTATCAGGACGCTTTTGTCCATGGTACAATGAACATATTCATTGTACCATGGATGTTGATCATGTATATATAACCTCACTTTCGTAGATTATGTTAATAAATCTTTATTAACGACAAAAAATGTTTTTGTTGAATATTTTTGAAATATTTTTGTCTGACAACGTGTCACGTGACTGTAAGAGGGGAGACCCACGGAGCGAATAAAAACATCCCAACACTGCCAAACCCAAATATTTTTGACATTTGCGGCTATATTCAGCTTGTACTTTCAGTAAACTCAACTCGCTGTTTTCCTACTGATATTTCCATGTTTCTATAGCATTTCAATATATTCAGCCTAGCCGCCTCAAATGATAAAAGAAAAGATCCACATATTAAATATATGGAAAACAAGTTCTATTCATGGAATAATCTATACTTAAAAACCTAGGACAATGGAATTAATGTGAAGATATCACGGAATTTGCGCCACTCTCTCACTAATTAATAAATTATGAAAAACAGTAGCTAAAATTCTTAATCTAATATTTATACAAATTAAATACTTAACGTTTATGTGCGTCATGAAGATAAAAAGACATTCCTTTATGAGAAAAGAAATTTCTTACGTTTTCATCTCTGATAATGATGTTATGATAATAATATTATAATTTTGATTTTTGTAGATATTAGAAAATAGTTCTGTCATAGTTTTAAGGTTGATTATACAGACCAGAGAACTAAAGATTTTCCTGTGACATTCATTGATACAGGTATCTAAGAACTGCTTTTGATAAATTTGGAGATAACACTATTTAATAAACAAAATATGCAAAAGGTTATTATTTCCTTATAAACAATGTAAGATAGCTATTTGATTTTGAATAATAAAGTTGAATACCGCTAAATTATATGGAAAAGTGTCACAATTGTACTGAAAAGGCATAGAAAATCGTTTAAAATGAGTGTTTGTAAAGTTATTTTTATTAATTTGTTGTTTAATTATTGCAAAACTAGCTTTAAAAGTTGATTATTTTGAAAATTATTAATAACTTTTCTAAAAAATTTACAAAAAACTTTGATTTTGCTTGAGAGTAGATAAGGACAATATCACAAATATTGAGTTTTAAAAATTTCTAAAATTTTCTTTTAACAGCTATTGCAAAATTGAAATTGTTTATCCCAGAAAGCTTTTATCTACAACTTTATTATGCGTAAACTATTAGGCCTACATAAGTTCTAAACGCACCGAATTGAAGAGAAAGTCCATATGTGATCAAAAAATTATTATTAAATTTAAAATGTATGTTAAATATTGTAAAATAGGTTAGCAAAAGTACTGTAATTTTAAGCTTATAACAAATTAAAATAATTCAGTTTAAAACAGAAGCGATTTTACAATTTCAAAAACTGAATTCATAAATTAAAATTTATAAAAGTAGCAATATATCCGGTTCTAATCAACGAAAAATGTTTTTTTTGTAATTTGAGGTACCTCGTGGCATAGATCATAAAAATGCATTTAGTTCATTTGTAAATTGTTTATTTGACCGAGTAATTTGTTTAAACAATTTAAAATAAATATTTATTTTGCAAAAGTTTTACTTTATCTTATTATTATAAGCAGAAAAGATTCTGAAATAATAAGCAACTTTAATATTTATGTATTATATTTAAAAATAATATCTATAACAATAGATTTTACAAAAACTAATTTTTTATTTAAAAATCAAATTTTTACGTATTAGTTTTCTTGAATTATGTTTATTATTTTTACAATCACTTTTTCTCAAAAACATTAGATATATTTTACACAAATTAATAATTGTTATAAACTTTGTATAATTATAAATAAATATTATGAAATTAGTCTGTATATATATTTAATTTTACTATTTTTATTTATAATAATACAAAGTTTATAACAATTAACCCCTTCGCTACCAGGCTTGAAGATAAGTTGCACATTATTTTTGCGTGGCCCGTTTAAATTTTTAGTGCCTTGAAGAGTATTTTTTATTATTTAAAAAATATTAATATGCCACAGGCGCCGCACTAAGGACAACTCATATAAAAACAAAAAATAAAAAAAGGCGCCTTTCATTACAACTGATGATATATTTGACCAGTATTTTGGATGCGATTCCATAAATTTTGTGTTAGTTTTTCACATTTTTATACAAAAACTTATTGATACAAACAAAATAAAATAATTTTAATTCATAACATGAAATTCGTTGAAATGCTCCTTTGAACAATAAGATGGAAAATCAGGACACATCGCGCAAATATTTGATGTTAGTTACCTTTTCTTCTCATTTGAGTAACATACTTTATAACACTTTCTCTTTCTTCTTGTTCCTTCCTCTTTTTACTGAGAAGCCATAACGTGCTCATGAGATTTTTCTTTAGCCGGATTTTTATAAGCTATTTTCAGTTTTTGATAAGATGGTCGAATGTTTTTGAATTAAGTCATTCACAACTGTTTCTCAAAATCCACTAAACTAACTTGTTTGTTATGCACAATTGTATAAAACGTTTTTGCATTTAGCACTATGCGTTGGATCATATGACAACCTTCGTTTTTAAACCACGTGTACTTTTTCTAGCGTAAAAATTTCGTAAGTCTCAATATCTTGATCTATAGAATCCAGACTGATATATTCATGTTGGTTCTAGCTTGATAACGTTCTTTTTCGATTAATTCTGTTTTAATTTTTGTAGCTAACACATACACTTTCGTACACATACACGTATCTTTGAAACGTACCACGAGAATGTCACTCTTTCTAATAAAACAAGATTGAAATGCCTCAAGTTAAATTTGAGTGAGCGCTTTTGCCATCCCTGTAGACACGAATCGAACTAGTAACATAAGAATTTAAGTCTAATTATTTCTTTATGTCGGTCAATATCTCCCGACTTGACTTCACTTGATTTTTTTTTATGGAGCTATCGTAAGGACCGGGTCTATGTAAATAGAGCAACTAATTTAAATGATTTAAAGGATCGCATATGTCTTAAAATGCAGGCAGTATCTCCAGAAATGATCAATGATTCTATTCGAAACTTCCAAGATAGATTGTATTATTGCCAAGAACCAGACGGCCAAAACCTTTATTTTTTTTTCATTTTAATTGTTACTTTTTAAAATTAAAATGTTTCCATACTTTTTCGCTACCCTGTATGTATTTATAAAGATTTTCTAGGTAAATTACGAAGGTCATAAGTGATTGATAAATAATGAATAAGAACAGGCTTGTTTCCCCTTTTTTGTATTTATTGCTACTTTGGAGCAGGGTTAATAAATTAAGACATTTTTAACCAGTTGCATCTTATAGAAAATTCAATTGTGGCTATTTTATTTCATCACAACTTTGTCCCAAAATTAATTGTTTTAAAGATATAAACAAGGAAACTAAAAAAACGATGTTTTTATCATTTTTAAATATTTTAATTTTTTTATTAATATTCTCGATCTATTTGAGAGGGAGGATAAGTCCATTAATATTATTGAAGTTATCACACAACTTTTTCTGCAAAAATCAGAATGCTACCCCTCACATCCACCTCAAAACAGATCCGCCCTGGTCTAACCCGAAAAAAGATGTCAAGATCAAGCTCACGCCCGGGATAAATTCAAACAGCTACCAAACAAGCGAAGTAGAGACGTGGATTTTGAAAACAAGAACTCTAAACCGATTAAAAGGGTTTAGATGTAAATATATTAAACAATTGAAAATATTCTGAACTAGGACTATCTATAACATCACAAATTTGAGAAGAATAACTAATAATAACAGCTGTTGCGTTCTGCACATACGATGACCTCAATATAACAATTGGGGTCATCTTGAAGGGGAGAGAAGATATTCTGTTCAATCCAGAACTCGCTGGTTTCCCCCTTTCGGATTGGGTATGTATAATTAAATAAAAAAAGAAATGAAATCCAGCGGACTACATAAAACTGTATTTAAAAAATCAATGAAATTAAAACATAAATATACATACCCAATGCGAAAGGGGGAAACCAGCGAGTTCTAGATTGAACATAGTACATTCTCTCTCCCTTCAGGATGACCCCAATTGTTATATTGAGGTCATCGTATGTGCAGAACGCAACAACAGCTGAAAACAGAGACGAGAATCCTATTGGGATCGCTAATCCTGTTCATTAGGGAAATAGCAAGAGACGTTATTTATGCTCAGATCGTGTTTATTCATAGTTCTTAGAAAAAAATATTTATTATTCATAATATCAAAAAACTTCTAGCATTATCTTTCGAAACCAACATGTGTTGTTCTGCATATACACCAATCGTTTAAAAATAATTTATTGCAATACTTATGCAAACTCAATGTCAAATAACCGATAAGTAGAAGATATCACCAAACAAATATTTGATTACTCATTTACAGGTAATAATTATGAAGTTTAGAGATACAATATCTGAATTACCGAGAAAAAGATATTGGATTATAAACTTTACACTCAGATGTGTCACATCATCCGCGATGTGTATTGTTCTAATGAAAAAATATGTATTTTTTTCTATTTTTTACTAGCCGGTAGTTGTTTTGTTTTTATCCTTTTAGTCTTCTTTTTATATTTAATTTTTAATGATATTAAAAGATCTATTGCTACAAGTTAATAGGCTAAAATAATATTATCAATTTTTATCTCGGTATCTTCAGTTAGCATCTGTTCAAAACGAATACTAGATGCACCATAAAATCAGTTTGAAATAGAAATTAAATATCCAAGAACAACTACTCGAAGGAACTATTTAAACCATCCAAACAGATGAATTGAATAGAATCAAGAGACTTTCAAGGACACAAAAGAGGATAATACTACCCAAATTATAGCTAATGGGGGTACTACAACACAGACTGAGAAAATAGCGACCAGACAAGTTATAAGATTTTATAAAAATATTGACAAAGCACTAGGTGAAAAGCTGAACAGTAAAAGTGATCGAAGAGATTTCAAGAACTAATTTGCCATATCAATAAAAAAAGTATAGGAAGAAGAATAAGCGACAAATAGATAAAAAATATCATATAAAAAGAGATATGCTCCAAATTGCGACAATTAAAAATCCATAGCTATACTAGACGTAGCCTATAAATTTTTGTATAACAATAAAAAACCTACAAACACATTATCACTAAAGAGAAGCTAGGACAATAGCAATGCCCCGGAAAAACAGATCGGTGATAGACAAAATTTAACTTAAGAAATTTAATGTTATCAGATGCTTAAAGCAGTGAAACCCATTGTTAATAACCCTCTTTAATATAGTCCTTCTTCTTCTTTTTATGTAGACATGACCCTGTGTGTTTTTCAAGGTGCCTCCAGTAAGTTGTCATTCCATCGTTTTCGTGGTCTTCCTACTGATTGCCTTCCTATTGGGGAACCGTCTCTTGCCGTCTTTACTACTATATTTCTTGTCATTCAGCTTATATGATCGTTCCATTCTACTCTTCTATTTCTTACCCAGTTCTTGATGTTCTCCACTTTGCATCTACGTCGTATATTTGTACTTCTAGCTCTCTGTCCCATAGTGTCTCTGTCAGGTCATGTTTCTGCCGCGTTTGTCATAATTTTAAGTTGTTTTCTCCCATTTGGTATCCTTCTTTAGTTATTACTTTTTTATTATTTCATTCATAATCAGGTTGAACAATAGAGGACTTAGGAAATCTCTCTGTCTTATCCCATTGCCAGCTTCAATAGGGTCGGTTAGTTCTTCTACTTTAACTTTTGTTGTGTTGTTTTGATAGATATTTTCGATCGTTTTCATTATTCCTAGAGGTATCTCCCTTGCGTACAATAAGTGGATAACGTCCTTTAATTTCACCCGGTCCAATGCCATCTTAAGGTCCACGAAACCTAGATATGCCGGTTTGTTGTATTCTAATGATTTCTCTTGCACTTCTCTTATTATAAATATGGCGTCGGTGCATGATCTTCCCGATTTAAAACCTTGTTGTTCTTCTGTTAGTGTTATAATTTCATTCACTTTATTTGTTATCACTTTGGTTGTTAATTTTAGTGTTATGTTTAATAAATTAATTCCTCTTAGAGAGGTATTAGAATGCTTGATTTCCATTCATACGGACTTCTGTTTTGTTCTATTATTTTTTGGATGAGTTTTAATAGTTGTTTGATCAGATCTGGTCCCCTGTACTTTAGGAGTTCGTTCGGTATTCTGTCCTCTCCTGGCGATTTTCTATTTTTTAATTTCAATAATGCTTCCTTTACCTCTTCCACGTCCATATTTACTTCTTCCTTTGTCGTCACCTCTGGTATTGGTGGTTCATTATCGTCACCTTTAACAAATAGGAAGTGAAAGTAGTCTACCATGTTTCCCTCTGAATCTGTTTCATTTTTATTAGTTCGTTCATCTTTTTTCTGTGTCCTCTGATCATTCTCCATATTTCTCCATAATTCTCGTGTTCCTTCTGTTTTGAGAAGCTCTGCCAGTGTTCCCTTTTTATTTGTATACCTAAAGTATTCATTTCGTTTCTGATTCGTTTATAGTGTTTGTATGCCTGTTGTGTTTGTTGTGTTCTGTATCGTAAAAAGGCTTTTTTCTTTTTTTCACATTTCGTCTTCACTTCCTCTCTAAACCAATTTTCTTTTCTGATATGTTAATGTTCGTTACTTTCCTACCTCCAAGTGATTTTGTTGCTGCGTTAACTATGTTTATCCCAGCTTTCCTTGATGTTATCGTTTTCTGATATTTCATTCCCAGCGATCTTCTCTGACATTCCAATATAGACCTAGATAAAGCAATTAAAGATGCTGGAGTACTAACCAGAAGAACATTATCCAATCAGCTAATACAAATTATGACAGGACGCATTGTCATCCTGACTAAAAATCGAATAAAGTGTTTACCTTTAGTTGATGGATTTTGCTTAGTTTTTAGTTAAATTTTTAAATTATATTGCATATTAAATATCCTCTGTTTTGTTTTACAGCAGTATTAATTGCCAGTTGGACATTTTTCAAGATCTACCACTAGAAACTGTAAGTATACAAATATTTAAAAAAAGTTTTTTGATATGAGTTTTATAAATATCATAATTTCAATCGTATTTCAGGATTCGCAGGAAAAATATGATGAGTTGGAACAGCAAATAACCGTAAGTTTTTAGTCACTTTATATTTTAATTTTGGGGCGGGCTATTTTCACGTGGAATGTGATTGCTATGAGGTTTGTTCGATAACTACGTGGTTTAATAAAGAAAGCACGGATTTGATACGAGAAACATGGTATTTTTAATATAGTCTTCTGCGCCGTTAAATTAATAAAAACTTATTCCAGATTAGCAAGGTATCATTGTATCTAAGCCCTTAAAATAGCTATTCAGAGCAAAGATGGTTTAAAATTAGTTTCCAACATTTTCACATCAGGCCAGTTTTTTGGGTTTGGAAAAACGCAAATCATGAATATTAATTAGCTAATGTAGTGTCAGACGTCTGAACAATGGTCATCGTTATGTGATAAAATGCTTTTGTAACCAATATAAAAGCTGAACTAGATTCTACTCTAGGTCAGTCTGCACTTTCGTTTCATCATCAGTTGGCGCTACAGCCCTTCGTGAGTCTTGGCCTGCTTCAAAACATTCTTCCATCCTTCCCTATCGAGTGTCTGTCTTCTCCAGCCCCTCACTCCAATCTCCCTCAGATCTTCCTGTACATCGTCCAGATATCTGAGTTTAGGTCGCCTCCTTCTTCTTCTTCCGACCGGCCTGTTTAGCATAGTTATTTTAGTGGGATCACTCTCATCCATCCGCATAACGTGGCCCACCCACCTTAGGCGGTTTATTTTGATGGTCTTCACAATATCTGCATCACCAAAAAGTCTATAGAGTTCAAAGTTATATCGCCTTCTCCACAGACCCTGTTCGTTTACTCCGCCATATATGGTCCTCAATACTTTTCTTTCAAAGACTCGTAGTAACTCTTCATCTCGGGTCGTCATTGCCATGTTTCCGATCCGTATGTGAGCACTGGGCGTATTATTGTTTTATAAAGTTTGCACTTTGTTGCTATTGACATACTTCTCGCTCTTAGTTGAGGGCCCAGGCCAAAATAACAGCGGTTAGCCAAGCATATTCTTTTTTTTATCTCGTTGGAGATTATTTTTGTAGTCTACCAGTGATCCTAAGTAGCAGAATTCTTCTACCATTTCTATCGTTTCGTGTTGCACCTTATTTTGTTAAACTCTTGATATTGCCGGCATATTTTAGTTTTCTGGATGTTAATCAGAAGTCCGATGTTTTCTGCGGCATTTTTGATACGTGTGAAAGCCTCCACTGCTTCATTTTGGGTTCTTCCAATTATGACGATATCATCAGCGTATGCCATTATTTGTATACTACGGGTATATATCGTACCTTTTAAGTTTATTCCCGAATCTCTCATAACTTTTTCTAACGCTAGGTTGAACAGCGTGCACGATAGTGCATTTTCCTGGCGCAGTCATCTGTTGGTTTTAAATGGTTTTGAAACATCCCCTTGTACGCGCACTTTACATTCGACTTTCATCATTGTCATTTTAATTAATTCTACCAAACCTTTTGGTATTCCTAATTCGATCATCGCCGAATATAATTGGGACCTGTCAATAGTATCGTACGCTGCCTTAAAGTCTACGAAGATGTGATGGCAGTCTATGTCGTACTCCGTCGTTTTTTTTCTAATATTTGTCTGATGGATGATATGTGATCAATGGTAGATTTGTTTTCAAGAGCCTCTTGGTAGATCCTATTATATTGTCAGTATACCTGCCAGTCGTTCGTTAAGTATCAGGGACAAATTTTGCAAGAAGGGAAATCCCTCTAAAGTTGGAACATTCAAGAACGTTTCCTTTTTCGTGTATGGGGCATATAATTCCAGTATTCCAATCTTCTGGTAACGCGCGTTCTTGACATACCTGTATTAGTAGTTTGTGAAGGAGGGTTACAAATGTTTGACCGCCACATTTAAATATTTCTGCGGGTAGGTTGTCTGCTCCGGGTGACTTGTTTCTGGCTAGAGACTGAATTGCTTTGTTTATTTCTTCCAAAGTTTCAGTATCCTCCTTTTCGTTTAAAATAGTAAACGCACTTTCGTTTACAATAGTAAAATATTGGGTACAGGGCTTAAACCAAACAGTACGACCTGGCAAGACGAGCATCACAGTCGTCGGCCAAATGAGGTAACCACTCCAGAAACGATGAAGAAAATCCACAAAGTGGTACTGGATGATCGTCGACTGAAAGCACACTTAGTAGGCATTCCAAAAAGTGCGGTACATCGCATATTAACTGAAAATTTGGGATGAGAAACATGTGTGCAAAAACTATCAACGGCAAGTATTATGCGAATTTACTGCAACGTTTGATCCGAGAAATTAAGCAAAACGGCCGCATTGGGCTAAAAAAAATGTTGTTTCATCAAGGCAATGCAACAGCTCAGATCCGTTATAGCAATGGCCAAAATTGATAAAGTAACCTTTGAATTTCTATCTCATGCACCCTATTCACCAGATTTATCCACCTCAGATTATTTTTTGTTCTCAAACTTGAAAAAACGGTCCACTGGTCAAAGATTTTACAACCGTGAAGAAGTAAGGTCGGCAGGTAATGACTATTTTGAGGAACAGGACAGTTCTTATTCTAAAAGGATATTTAGAAGTAATGGATTTTGACAAGAGCTATGAGTCATGCCGATTCAGTACACAAGTTTACCTGTTATTTTCAAGGTCACAGTTCTTGTCAAAATCCATTACCTTTAACAGCGTTTATGATGATAATGATTTGTACGAAGTCATAATAGTCAGCTTAAGGATTCTTTATAGCTTATTAAATATCGTTGGGAAAAGTGTATAGACCAAATTTTGTGGTATTTGTTGGGTCGGCTACTTTTGGGACCACCACCAATATTTCTTAGAATATACCGTGATCATCGGAATACATCTGAAATTTTCGAGTTTGATTTTCCAGAATTAAAAAGTCAACAGTAAACTAAATAAAATAAAGCTTTTCATCGATAATCTTTCCTCTGACCATTTTCAAACCACACAAATACCAGGAGGCTTTAAAATTTATAAAATGCATATCACAGTAATCGATATTGGTATGATTTGATTTTTCAAAGCCACCTGCAGTTCTAAATTAATCATAATAAAAATTAAATTGGATTCATCTAAGAGGGGAAACACTGTAATTTGATATTGCAAAAGTTTATAAAAACGGATTAGTATATCTTCTATTGAATGTTATCAAAATTCCATGTTAATTAATATAACTATAAATAATATATAATATATATATAATATATATATATATATAATATATATATATAGTTATATATATATTATATATATATATATAGATATATATATATATATATATAGTATATAATATATATAGTTATATATAGAAAGGTTTTAATTTTTAGAATGACATTTGGAATGAGGTTGAAGACCAACACCAAGAACTCGATTCCCCGGAGAAACTTCTACAAAAGATTTGTGCACTATACGATTTCGAAATAAAGACTGAAAGAATCGAATGTGAAGATGTTAAAATTGTTTCAAAAAGTCTTAAAGTAAATAATCACGTAATCCACAAAAGACAAGCTGACGATGAATTTGAAGGCTCAGGAGACGGTAAGTATTGTCTTAAGTGAACACGAAATTCGTTTTCTGATTCATTAAAATTACCATAATTATTGGCACATTGACCATGCAAGTTGAGTAATGGTTGGGCAATCAGTTGTACAGTACGTAGAAGTAACAATGTTTTATGTAATGTAAACAGCCAGTCAAATTCACTCATTAAATAAACCAATCTTTATTGTTAGTCTAATTCCAAAGGTGGTAAAAAATAATTCATGAATTTCCATTATTTCGTGAACAAAGTTTTCGTTTTTTATTACTAAAATAATAAAAATAAATTTTATTTTAGATTCTGCTCTTGAAACTGAAGAGGAAGAAGTTCCTACAGAATTGCTAGAATCTGAAGGATCAGAAACGACTACTGAAGCGATTACAGCTGAAGAAATACAAGAAACAACTGCTGAACCGACTACAACTGAAGAAATACTAGAAACAACAACTGCTGAAGCGAGTACAACAGAAAAAACTGAAAAAGAAAATATTCCCCCTGTTCTGCTAGAATCTGATAAATCGGAAAAACTAGAAACAACTACAGAAGCAAGTAGAATTGAAGAACAAACAATTAAAGAATCGCCTTTCAAAAAACAAGCTCTCGAAATTCCAGTACAGGAACCGAATAAAGCTGATTCTCTACAAAGCTCCACAGAAGCGCCCGCCGTTGAAATTTCTACGAAACAAGAACAACATGAGAGTTCGACAAAAGAAAAATCCATAGAAGAGGTCAAAACAGTATCAACTGAAATCAAAAAAGAAGAAGCAACAACTGCTCAAGCTCATTCTGAAGCACCTTTCAAGCAACAGGAGTTGGATATCCCAGAAATAGTAGCTCCTAAAGAGGTACCAGTTAATGAAGTAGTTAAAAATCAAGATGAATCTGCTAATGCACCTAAATTAGAAATACCCGTAAGTGAAGGCGAATCCACAAATGCGCCTAAAGTTGAAGTACCAGTAAAAGAAAACGAAGCATCATCTGAACAACACCTCGAATTAAGTGAAACTAAAAAAGATGATAATCAATTAAAACAAGAAGAAATTATTCCACATCAAGACGGAAATGCTATTTTGAGTAACAGTAGAGACGGTATGTCTGAAGCTGAGAAGACAGTTAGAAGAATGGAAGCCAACGAAAGCATTAGTAAGTATTTTAAAATTTTCCTTCCAGTAATCATACAAAGGAATTGAAAAATTTAATTATATGTATATAACCGGTATTTAGGCGGCACACGCCCTTCCGGTTGGGATCTATGGAGGAGTATCACCGAACCACAAGCCCTTATCTCTTGCCGTACTGCTCCACCATATGCCGATCAGATACCAGCATATTCTAGACTAAGCCGCAGATTCATTTAGAATTTTTAACTGCTGCGTTAGCCTTTTTGTTTTTCTGTACACCGAGCTGGGGATTGAACTGACATCTCCCGCATTGAAGCGAAGGAGAAGCCAGCCGCCCAGCTCGCTTGGCTATCCGACCGAAAAATTTAATTAACTTTATAAAATAATTATTTTAATATTCTGTTCTTATTATTCTCTAATATTATAAATAATAGGAAAGATAAGTTTTACAATAGTTTTTTTAGTTTTATGTACTATACTGTTAAAATATTCACTCAGTTTTTTGGTCTTCTCCTTTCGTCTCTCTTGTCTTGCATTATTAAATAAAGTATATTAAATTTCTCTGGATGACGCATAACATGGCCAACATATTCCAGTTTGCGATTTTTAACCTCTCTAACCGTAGTTTTTCCTATCCGTCGTTACAAACTCTATCTACCCAACTTATTCGCGGAATTCTCAGATACACCCAGATTTCAAAGTAAGTTTTCTTAGAAGTGTATCCGGTAAAGTCCAAATTTCGACACCTTATACAAGGGCAGATAATACAGAACATATTACTAATTTAATGTTCAGTCTCACAGTAATATTGTTTCCTACATAAAAAATTCATTTTCTTAAAAATTTCTTTGCTCATATCCTAGTTCTCATTTAGATTGCAACCAAGACAAGATACTGTTGGTTCTCTCCAATTGTTCTCCATAAACTGTTACCCTTTTGGTTGTATTGGCGTTTTACTGACAACCACCATCTTTGTTTTTGTGGTGTTTATCTTGAGTCTTCATTTGTCTGACGGCTGCCGTTATTTCTTCTGGTAGGATTTCGGGACCTGAAATTTTCTTCAACGGTAGGCTCTTGTACTGTTCTAAGGTCATGGAAAAGTTTCCCCAAGTATTCTTCCCATACTTTTTTTTATCGTCTTTGGTTATGGCAAGATTCCCTTCATTATCTGTTATTTTTCCGCTGTTGCGTTTTCGAAATTTTCCAGATATTTCCTTCACCTTTCGATGAACATGAAGTTATCATATCGACTCTGGTACTCTTCTATTTCTTGACATTGTTCTGTTTTTTGTTTCTCTTTGGCTTCTCTTATTTTTCTTCTGACGATGGTATGGGTTCTCTTATATTCTGGGAGATTTTCTTTGTTATTTTTTTCTCTGATCCATAAGCTCAAGTATTTCATCGGTCATCCACGATTTGCGTTTCTCTGTGTCTTTCTTCAGGTGTTGTTCTTTTATTTCTCTCACTGTTTCTTGTATAATGGTCAGACTTTCCTCTATAGTTTCTGACATTTTTGCATGTTAGCCTGCAAAAATGCATGTTTGCATTTTGCCTGTTGTAATCATCATGTAGAAGAGTAAATCTGTGGCTACGCAATCTCCGTAGTTGGATGCAGCTCAAGCGATTCAGGATACAAAGATGCAAAGATGCAACCCATAAGAAGAAGATCTTGAGTCTAGATTATCACGTTTATGGTAATCAATGTTGATTGATTATTGAAAAATTATCAATGTTGATGCCATTAATTTTAATACCACATTGAACACAATCCAATATTTTATCGAAAACGAACTCCGAATAGATGTTAAATATTAGTGGGGTCAAAAATGCAGCCCTGTCTTGCTCCTCTTCATATTTGAAGTTCTTCAGAATTATCCTGAACAATCCTGATGTCTGCACGTTGATGTAAGTAAAGAATTATCATCAATACCTACCTGCTGAAGAATGGCTATTGTTTCAGTATATTTTACTCAATTAAAGGCAATAAAACACACGTAAACTAGTCCGAATAATTTGGTCGTCTTCAGTCTTCATGAAACACGCGAGGACAGGTTAATTTATTTTTCCAATTTCCCACATACTAATAATTCATTTGTTTATTTATTGACATTTATAAATACACGACGTCATCAACTTTTTCTTAAAAAGTAATGATAGGCACTTTTCTTAAAAGACACCTGATACATAATTTGAAAACTGTTTTGTCACTCGGTATGTTCCTAGATGTCTGTGCAAAGCAAAGTATTTTCTTTTACTTATTAACGGATATTTCGAAAACTTCATGTTTGGTTTTACAATTATCAACAAATTTAATGAAATTCATTTAAATCTTTTTATTTTAGAGTCCCAAGTGTCAGATATCGAAGAACCCAAAGCTGGAGCTACTAGCGAAAGTGACGGTGGCAGTAAAGATACCAAATTGTTGATAATCATCGGTGGTCTAGTTGCAGCGGTGGGAGTGGCAGCTTTTGCTTATAACTATATCAAAAAGAGGAAAACTACTGAGGTACAGTCCAGAGTTCCTACCCAAGTGAATGGAAATGGGAATACAAATAATGATCCTGAAGAAGGACGAGAGATGAAACCGTTGATGAAGTCTCCTCAGCCAAATAGCAGCGTCGAATACACAGATGAAAAATAGGAAGTGCGTGAGTGTGAAACAAAAACTCTAATATTTATTATGTTATTTTAATGACCAGGTTGCATTGTGTTATAAGCATAGAAAAAATGCATCAGAGTACAAACGGAATCTAAGAGGTCTGCATGATTTTTACTGACGAATTTTTATCAATTCAAACGACTTGAAAAAACAACGGAATTCCTAACATAATGCTGATATCTATTGACTAGATAATAAGGGGTCGCTTTTGTTATTTTTAAAACAATTTTTTATTAATAAAAATTTTCATCTGTCTTATCGTTTACGTCCAACACCTATGTATATTTCCTTCAATATTAACGGGAGAGTCTGATTAAATACCAAATTAAGAGGTCTAGGTTCTAGATAGTTCTAAATTAAATTCATAAAAAAGGAAAACGGTTGGACTACAAGTGGACCAAAAGATTGGACTGCAAGTGGGACAAAAGGTTCTGAACAGCCACAGTGTTCATATTAAGGCAAAAAACAAATCACAATGTTTAAGTACAAAAGAAAAAGGTATAAAAATATTAAAGAAATAAAGTAATTGCAAAAATGAACAGTGTGCTAAGGACGTGGATAACAAATGAGATTCATTAATTCTTTTATTACCAATATCATGATGAATGAGCTAATAAAAAGTTAAAATGAAAAATGACGTAAAGAATGATATCAAAATTTAGATTTTAATTCTAACAGTTGTCCTTTGCAAATTCTACTTAAAATTGTTTAGTCAGGTTTTGTATAACGTATCATATACTAGGAATGTATATTTTTGAGTTATCCACATTTTTTTTTCAGTGAGAGATTATCAATGCGGATTTAGACCGGGCCACTCTACAATTGACCAGATATTCACAATAAAACAGATAATGGAAAAATGCTGGGAGTTTGATCGTGAGCTTCATCAGATGTTCATAGATTTTAAACAAGCATTTGATAGAGTATGTAGGGACAGATGTGGACAGCGATGCAGGAACTTGGCTTTCCAAAAAAACTAGTCCGGTTGATACGGATGTGTATGGAACGGTTACGATGTAAGGTGAGAGTTGGACAACAATACTCGGAGACATTTGAAATAAACAATGGACTAAAAACAGGGAGATGGACTTTCACCACAACTCTTCAACTTAGCTCTGGAGCACATAATCAGAAGTGCAAGAATCGAAAAACCGAATACAGTATTTCATCGAGAAGGACCAAACTTACTACTGGCATTTGCAGACGATATAGATCTAATAGGAAACACGCGATTAAGGATGAAGGAGACTTTCGTAAGGTTTGAGAAGGAAGCAGAGAAGATGGGGCTCCAAATCAACGAAAACAAGACGAAATATATGTATATGAGCCGCAATAACCAAAGCAGAGACAGAATCGGTCAGAACATTACCATCGATGACTTTAACTTTGAGCGCGTTAGAGAATTCAAGTATCTTGGAACAACAATAACTGAAGACAATAACGGATCACAAGAAATAAACAACAGGATTCAGGCCGGCAACAGATGTATTTTTGCCCTCCAAAACCTTATAAAATCAAAACAACTAACACGACGTACGAAGATACAGGTCTATAAAACAATCATACGACCCGTTGTGATGTATGGAAGCGAAACGTGGACGATAACAAAGGCAAATGAAGAGAGACTACGTGTTTGGGAAAGAAAAATCCTAAGGAAGATCTTTGGTCCGGTGCTTGATGAAGCATCGGGACAATATAGGATAAGAACTAATAAAGAGCTTGAAGAACTTTACCCAGACGCCAACATCATAAAAGAAATAAAGTCCAGAAGACTCCAATGGGCAGGACACCTCAGAAGACATTCTGACGAACGAACAGTAAGACTGGTGTGGAGGAAGTCCCAATGAAGGAGATCACGCGGACGCCTCGTCTCCGGTGGCGAGATAATATAGCAGGAGACCTGCTATATGTATATATATGTTTTGATATGTGTATCAAAACTCATCATCAATATGGTTCCACCCCTGGTTGTGCCTTGACCTACAGTATGTCAGTTTTAAAACTTACAATGGGCTATATCTGACGAACAAAAGCTGATGTTATCGAAAAATGCTTGAAACCGTACACTATTGAAAAGACAGTTATTATACAGGGTGAAGCAATAATTGTGAAACTTTGGTTTAAATGGAAAATTTAATGAGGTTTTTGTTGAACTACAAATTTGTTAAAAATGTCAACTAAGTAAATGTTCAAAGTGGGTTCCGTTGTTTTGTAAACAATAATACCGCCTATTTTCAAATTCTGCACGAACTTTGGCAAATTTTGTTCTAGTAATCTCGCGAAATGCTTGCGTAATTTTTTCTCGCAATTCCCCAAATGACGCTGGTTGAGTTTTATAAACAACTGACTTGAGAAGAACTGATGGTAACCCCATAGAAAAATGTCAGATGGCGGTAAGTCTGGTGACCTCGGTGGCCACTCAATACGATCCTTCCAATCCATTTGTTCGGATAATTAGTATCCAACCAGTGCCTAATTGGAACTGCATATTGAGGAGGTGCTCCATCTTGTTGGAAATGCAGCAAATCTTCGTCTAGGGCTAGGTTTGCATTGCCTAATATTACTGCCCAAACATTCAGTATTTCAGGATATTGAGTGTGACATTCTCTGAATCGATGCTGGTTCGCGTTTGCATCACTCCAGTACCGACAGTTTTGTATATTTACATTACCATTTAGCATAAAAGTACATTCATCAGTGAAACAAATATTTTTTAGCATTCTCAGTTCAAGCGAATTCTTTCAGTCATTTCTGTGTTCAATTGGGATAAATGTTGAGCAGTGTAGATGTTTTAGCATAAAAATAAAATTAAATAACATTTGTTCAGGCTTTACCTACCATAAACTAGTAATAGAACGTGATAATATATAGGACTATAAGGATACTTTTTATAGCATCCCAAAACAAGTCCTAGAACAGCACAAGAAGAAAAAAAAAACAGGAAAACCTAAGTGATCTGAACTGGAAGAAATTGATAGTCGAGATCGAGGTGGTCCTTAAAAGTCAAGACATTTGGGTAAATCAATATACATAATCAGATACTTTTAACACATGTAGATGAAATACTAAAGTTATACATCAACACATAAAGTATACAAAAATATCTGAAATAAGATTTTTAGCAGTATAGAAGTTATGTACAGAAAAAACAAACAAAATGATTGTTGTTTCGATAAATTGCTCTCGGTGGATTAAAGTATGGGATTCGAAGCAATATGGTAAATATCCAGAATAAGAGGTTTTTATTACGTTCTTACAAGAATCTGGGATATGAGCAGTAACTGTCTTTCTTTTTCTTCGTGTGCGTCACCCTTTAAGGACATAGCAATATTCACGACCCATTTTACTCTGTCTGCAGCAGTTCTAACGAATTCCATTCTTGTTTTCCACTCCACTACTTTTAATTTTTCAACTAGGACCATACTGCGTAGAACGATTAACTAAAATCTTCAGCCCTTCTCTGCTGCTCCCAAGAAATATGATATCATCTGCATCTCTGAGATTACTCACTAGTGTTCTGTTAATTGCCCTCATTTACGCCTTCTAGTGCCTATTTAACCATCTCTTCTGAGCATATATTAAAAAGTAAAGGGGACAGTACACATCCTTGTCATGCTCCTCATCTTATGGGCATATTTTTAGATTTTTGTTGGTCTACTAGTATTATGGTTCTTTGGTATTGGTATAAATTGGTAATGATTCTCGCATCCTGATCATCTATTTCTGTGTTTCGTAATATGTTTGCAAGCTTTCCGTGTTGTATTTCATTGAAGACTTTCTCACAGTCAACTAGACACATGAATACGACACAGCTGCATCTCTACTCTGTTTTATGAGTGTTTGTACAGTAAACAATGCCTCTCTAGTAACAAAGCCTTTTCTAAATCCCAGTTGGTTTCCTGTTATTCTATCGTATAATTTTTTCGTATTCACGTTCATGTATAATTTACAAAAATACTTAAAACATGGTTCATCAAGCTGATCATTCTATATTCTTCACATTTCACTGCGTTGGGTTTTTTGGGCATTGGGATGATTAGCCATTCTTTCGGAATCTTCTAGTATCGTAGATTTCATTGAATAATTCTACTAGTATATCACTGTGGTTATCTTCTAGTAGTCTTCTAGAGATTTCTGTAGGTATTTCATCATCATAACTTCATAGTCCGTAAGTGTCTTTACAGTCCACCAAATAATAATATTGCGAATATTTAAAAACCGTTAAATGCAAAAAAAGTTGAAATTTATGTTGAACAACTTTCATCATTTGAGGATTCTCCAAAAAAGAAGCTCTAGGAATGCTCTGAAGTCAAGTACCTAAGCTATTTTTATAAATTTACGCTATTACAGTACTTTTGAAATTTGTACTTATCAAGTAAGAAAAACTGAAAACCGATAACATTGCTACAAATAATTGTTTAAACAGATGAGATAAGATATCGTAAGTATAAATCATTTCTAATCATAGATTAAGAACGTGTGATGTCACTCGATAATTTTAGAAGATTCCACTCCTGCCAAGTTACATTTTAAATAAAAAAGTTCCATAAAAAACTAGTAAAACAATAGGACCAAAGATAGAAATTCACAAGTAATGAATTTGTATTATCTTATTTGTATTATCTCTGATCACAAATAGAAACATGAAACTATGAAACATATACATCAGAAATGCGAAACATAAAAATTGATTTCCACGTGGTCGAAAGCTGCACATCAAACTCGACGCAATATTCCTATCCAATACAGAACATTGAGCATAAATGTTTAGTATAAATATAAAAATATTTTTTATTTTTGATCGTTTCAATTCACGCAACAATCTTTAAAACATTTTGAAAATATTAAACTTGTGTGCTAAATATAAAAGTTTTTCAAAGAAAATTACTACTAATTCACTTTCGGTAGATGCGTTTAATAGTAAAAATAAAATTGAATAAAGGAAAAAATACAACTTTTCTGACCACTTGCTACGGTAAGGCGATTTTTCATTGTAAAATTGTTTCCTGATGTTTCAATATTAAAAAAAATGGCAAATCCAAACAGGAAAAGTTAAGTCCATTAGGCCAATAAGTCTGATGTCATTCGTACTGAAGATCCTTAAAAACTGCTCGATAAGCATATTAGAGATGGTGTATATTCGTAAATCCGATACATCAGTGACACAATGAGTATCGAGCAGGTCTTTCTACGGAAACGGTACTGTACCATCTCGTACACAGGGTGGAGTACGATCTAGAAAACCAAGACGTGATGTTGGG